GAAAGCCTCTTCAATAAATGGTGCTGGGAAAACTGGAAAGCCACCTGCAAAAGAATGAAACTAGATTGTTGTTTATCACCACACACCAAAATTAACTCAAAATGGATTAAGGACCTGAATATAAGATCTGAAACAATAAATTGCATAGAAGAAAACATAGGAACTAAACTCATGGACCTTGGACTTAAAGAGGATTTTATAAATTTGACCTAAAAGGCAAGAGAAGTAAAGCCAAAATAAATTAATGGGACTACATCAAATTAAAGAGCTTCTGCACAGCAAAAGAAACCGTCAATGAGGTAAAGAGAAAACCAACCAAATGAGAAAACATATTTGCAAGCAACACTTCTGATAAGAGCTTACTATCCAAAATATACATCTCATACAACTCAATAACAATAAAAAAGCAAATGATCCAATTAAAAGATGAGCAAGAGGACCTGAACAGACACTTCTCCCGAGAAGACATACAAATGGCCAACAAACATATGAAAGGATGCTCAACATCGCTAGCTATTAGGGAAATGCAAATCAAAACCACAATGACATACTATCTCACATCTATTAGAGTAGCTATAATCAACAAGTGTTGGAGAGAATGTGGAGAAAAAAGAACACTCATACACTGCTTGGTGGGACTGCAAATTGGTATAGCCACTATGGAAAACAGTATTGAGGCTTCTCAAGAAACTAAGAATTGATCTACCATATGATCCAACAATCCCTCTACTGGGTATTTACCCCAAAGACTTGAAAATATATATCTGAAAAGATATTTGCACATCAATGTTCATAGCATCATTATTCACAGTGGCCAGGACATGGAAGCAACCGAAGAAAGACACACACAGACTAAGATAGATGACTGGCTAAAGAAGCTGTGGTAAATATATACGATGGGATATTTTGGCCATAAGAAGAAATGAAATACTGCCATTTGGGACAACGTGGATGAACCTTGAAATAATCAAGGTAGGTGAAATAAGGAAAAGTAGAAAACCACATGTATCACTTATATGTGGGATATAAACCTAAAAGCAACAAACAAACAAACAGGACAAATAGAGACTCATGGACAATAGACTAATGGTTACCAGAGGGTAAGGGAGGAGGGAGGAGGTAGATGGAGTAAAAGGGGTCAAATATGTGGTGACAGAAATCTATGGGCGGTAAACACACAGTGCAATATATATATGCCTTACTGTTGAATTGTACACTTTTAACTTATGGATTTCATTAACAATGTCATAATAATAATAATAAAAGTGTTCCTAAAAGATTTCTTTGGCTAAAATGATATTTCTTGTGCAACATTAAAAAATAAGATTAATTTTTATATACATATAAATATGTGTGTGTATGTATACATATACATATATATATACACATATATATGTGTGTGTGTGTGTGTGTGTGTGTGTGTGTGTGTGTGTATAAAGGCAGACCCCTACATGTGCTGCCTACAAGAGACTCACTTCAGATTGAAAGACACACACAGACTGAAAGTAAAGGGATGGAGAAAGATATTTTATGAAAATGGAAAAAAACTAAAAGCTTGGGAAGCAATACTTATCCCAGACAAAATAAACTTTAAAGCAAAGGCTATAACAAGAGACAAAGAAGGATCCAGTAATCCAACATCTGGGTATTTATCTGAACAAACCCAAAACACTACTTCGAAGGGACATGTGAATCCATATGTTCATTGAAGAATTATTCATAATAGCCAAGATATGGAGGCAACCTGGATGCCCATCAACAGATGAATGGATAAAGAAGAGGTGGTACATATATGCAATGGAATATTTCTCAACCATAAAAAAGAATGAAGTCTTGCCATCTGCAACAACATGGAAGGACCTAGAGAGTACTATGCTGAGTGGAGTGAGACAGAGAAAGACAAATGCCATATGATTTCCTGCTGAGTGGAGTGAGACAGAAAGACAAATGCCATATGATTTCACTTACATGTGGAATCTAAAGAACAAAATAGAAACACACTCAGATACAGAGAACATTTTAATGGTTGCCAGATGAGACAGGGAATGGTGGGTGGGCAAAAAAGAAGGGATTAAAAAGTACAAATTGGTAGTTACAAAATAGTTATGGGAATGTAAAGTACAGCATAAGGAGTATAGCCAGTAATATTGTAATAATTATGAATGGTGTCAGATGGGTACTAGATTTATTGGTGTGATCACTTCTCTACTCACCATGTTGTACACCTGAAACTAATATTATATGTCAACTGTAATTGAAAAAAATTATTTAAAAATTAAATATAAAGTAACCTTTAGATCAGCAAGGGATAAATCAATTGGCAGCTTCAGGGTTATACCTTTTCTTGAGTATTTCCTGAGGCATAGGTAGATGGGACCAAAAAGCACCAAAGGCTACTGGCTAAAACGCCTGTCACCAACAGCAGGACATTAGGGCAAGACTTAACTACTTTTGCCATTTCCTACTTGCTTAGGTAAGCTTAAACATACTTCTCAGAGTCCCAGGTTATTCACCATCAGAATGAGATAGTTAATATTTAGCTATTTCAGATGTGAAAATGAAATGAGAGAGTACAGGTAAAGTTCTTAACACAGTGCCTGGAACCTAGTAAGTGTCTAGTAAATAGAACATCTGCTATGGTCCATCATCTTACCAGCATTAAAGAAACAAAAACACATATTAAGTAATCTGATTAAGACCATACAAGGAAGATTTTTACTGCTAGGGTTTTATGGACTCTTGTTTTTCTACATTTCTTTTGGCATAATCCCCACAGGAATGTGGGGCCAAGTGGCAGGGGATCTCAAGTGGTAAGGTGGTCTCAAGCTATAAAGGACGTACATGATGCTTCTGGCTGAAACCACACTATCTGGTACAGATCTCAAGCAACCAAGAACACATCTGTCCTAAGATTTCTTCAAAAGGCAGGGAACAATGCAACACCACACTTGAGCTTTGCCCTAATACCACCTGTACAAGCATAAAGATCAGAAGATGGGCCCATGTGGGCACCATCTCAAGGATTTTGCTGCCCAAAGTTAACAAAACTGCTTTTATAACAAAAGACCAAGCAAAGCAGAAAAAAAATCCACTCAACTTAGCTGAAGATAAGCCAAGTATACTACTCTTAGCTTGAAATTACCACTAATGTTTGACATATTTATTAGTAATCACTCAAAATTATAAAATCCAAGAAGGAAAGAAATAAACCAGATAGTTCTTTAGTAGCCCTCAATTAGAGATGGTAAAAGCCAAAGAGAGAAAAAGAAATTTTGAAAACAAAATTCTCCCAATCCCCTCCAGCTTCTACCACTTGCCAAGGATTTGTCTTATTTGTTTTCTCTGAAACCTTGAGGACTTTTCCACTGAAAGTACAGCCCAGCGATTAGAGTCTAGCTCTTCTAGGTCACAGGATATCTGACTCCAAGGGGAAGTGTCCAATTCTCTTTTCCTGGCTTCCCCTCCCTGACTTTCCAATTAGAGGCTGGGTGGTAAGACTAGGAACGAGGGACGCTCAACGAATCACAGGCTTGAGGCATCAATGCCCAAGGCAGTCAGAGACGAGAAATAATATTTTACCTTGCCCTTTGCAGGACCTGAGAAGAGCAAAAAAGATCCTCAGTAGAAATGTGAGAAATGCTGGTTTAAACAAAACTAAGGAGTTTCTCTAACACAGAACATTTCAGAGAGTTTAATATGCTAATGTTGCTGATAAGTAAATGGCACCAGGCTTATTTGTACACAGATTCCTTTACTTTTGTGGCCTACATCTTGGGACTAGTGTCTCACACAACACTGGAAAAAGAATGTTATAATTAGTTCTTTTATGTAAATGATTATTGAAGACTCACTTTGCCCCACTACAGTCAAAATTACATGCCTAAGCACGATGCCCCTAAAAGATCAGTTAATGGTGTAAAAATATTAAGGCCAAGCAGCGTGAAACACAGTTTACTAGGAGGGTAAGAGAAGTGCTGTAATAATACCACTTTACTTCACTCAGTCTTAATATGCTCTTCACAACTGAAAAAACCAAGATGCCATTAATTCCTCCTTGTTCTAGAACTGTTTCCCTTCTCTCGAAATTTTAAACACGTTTGTAATAAAACCCCATAGTGATGTGGGTAACTAGAATGTAAGCTTCATGAGAACGGAGACTCTACTTCGTACAGGACTACACCCTGGGCCCTTAAACAGTGCAGGTGCAAGGAAACTCCATAAATGTTTGATTACGTGAAGAGTGTAATGAACAAGCTTATGTTAAGGGTATCATTAACTCATTATTTTATGAACTGGCTAAAATACACATTCTATAGTTTTATATTTTAAGTTGACTTTAGAATGCTCACTCTAAAACATTTTTTTCTCAAGAAGTTTTCTTTTTTCCTGTTTCACTTTCTCATCCTTTGCAACAATCCTCGTTACACACAAACAGACACACACACTTTCTGATGACATCTTGGTTAGAAAGAATGTTCTGTCTCTCGACCAGGTACTATATTTAATACATTATTACAGCCAATTATTTTCAATAAAAGCCAAATTAACTAGCATTCGAAAGAATAGGAATTTCAATTAATCAAAGCTATGTAGAGATTCCCCTTTGAGAGAAGGAAGAAAAAACACATTCATCTTCTAGAAGGCAATCGTACACAAATAAGCTTTCATCACCAATTTGCTGGAATAAAGCAACTGGGCATGGAATACAGATATCAATATCCTATACCATTAATTTCAATATTCTGAACATAATGTTTAAAATAATCCTGAGATGTCGCAACATCTTCAAATAAACAAATAAAAAATGTCTTTGCTAAACTCAAATCACTATGACAAAAACTGATGATACATTTTCAAAACACTAACGATCGTGTGTGTGTGTTTAAGGGAAAAGTGGCGGAAAGGACAAGGAAACATTGCTCTATTCAGAAATTTCAATTAAATAGACTCTGCCCCACCCCATGCCTCCTACAAAGCAATTAGTGACCAGAGTGTTTCTATTTGTAGTCCCCAACTTTTGGTTGGGCTCTCTTCCCATCTATTGCAGCAGCCCTGCCCAGTCCCACCTGTGTGCCAGCTCCCTCCACCACTGGAGTGAACATGCTAAGACAGGTATTTAAGTTACATCCTTAGCTCCCAGGCCACAGGGATCTCTGGGGTCTGCTTCCATACCTCTACCTCACCCGCCCTAGAAGCCTGTGCTCCAGCGCCACTGAGCTAGCACTCCTCCTTGAACCCTACTCCCTCTAAGCTGCTTCCCCTGTGGTGGCCTTTGACCTTCAGCCTTCCAAGTCTAAAATGAACTACAGCCCTATTTATCTGGCTGCCCATCAAATTCTATCTGCTCTGGGGAGGCTTCATTGACATCTTTATTTCTTCATTTACCATATTATGTTGAAACGATCTATTTAAGTGTCTATATTCCTCACTGGACTGTGAGCTCTATGTGGCTTCCCCCATAACTCTAGCCTCAGCTCAGCTCACAGTTCCTAAAACACATTAAGTGTTCAAAAAATGAAGAATCAACAAATATATTTTGCATCCTTAATAACTCCAAGGCACTGGGGATGGGAGTAGGGGGCTTTAAGAGGCTGAGATACAGCAGCAAAGTCAGAATGGGGTTGGGTGTGTATGGGTGTGTGTACATACAGACATGCACTGAAGAGAAAGGGCTACCTCATTCTGTAGTCTTCCTACCTGGCACTTGAAGGTCAAGGTCCCAGCTGAAGCTCCCCTTTTCTCTCCTGGTCCCAGGACTGACCAAGTACTCTCTTCCACCATAAACCATGTGTCTTTGAATGAACTTCGCTCCTGTTTGGTCTGTTGTCAAACAGGGAAACATACCAATTCATATTTATGCCTTTTTTCCCATCCCAAAAACAAACAAAGGCTTTATGATGTTAACGATTAGAGAATGGGACAAAAAGACTCCCCTTATAAACTCTTCCCCCATTCCTAACCCCTAAAGTACATCTGTCTGGTATTCTCACTCACTCAGTCCAACTTGGACCCTGCAGGAGAGCACGAAGTCACACAGAGTACTGACAGTAGAACCTGATGCACACAAATAGGCAAATCTTTTTCATCACCTATCTGAACATTTCTTTCAGGGTGGAAAGGTGAGAGGCTGCAATAAAGAGAAGAATGTACATCCATATAGTGGAATATTATTCCACTGTAAAAATAAATGAGCTATAAAGCCATGAAAAGAAGGTTTAAATGCATATTACTAAGTGAAAGAAGCCAATCTGAAAGGGCTACATACTGTATGATTCCAACTATACGATATTCCAGAAAAGGCAAAACTATGGACACAGTTAAAGATCAGTGCTTGCCAGAGGTCGAGGAGGAGGGATAAATAAGACAAGC